GTCGTGGAGTATTTCCAGGGCGAGGACTCCTACCGCTGCGGGTACTGCAAGAACGAGTCGGGCAGTCGCTCCAATGGTGAGCGAGCTGGGCCAGCGGGCGTGGGGCCGGACGCCGCGGCCCCGGGGCTCGGCGGCCCGGCGGCCTCGCTCGAGGGCCGCGCGGCGGCCGGAGCCCCGGGCCGGCCCCTGTGCCTGGGACCGAGGCGGCCGGGGGCCCTGGGAGGGCCGGGGCTGTCAGAACGGCAGGCAGACCTCGTGTCTGCCTTAGCGGGACGCTTCTCGATGCTGGTCTTTCAGGCGCCCTCCCTGGGTGCTCGGGCACGCTAGGTCGTGGTGGCCTCGCCAGAGTCTGGAAACAGATGGCCGGCCCCCTGTGGGAGACGGCTAAAGAGATGACGGCGTGCTCAGCTAGGGAATGCGGCAGAGGCGCTGGTTCGTGGCTCAGGCGGACCTGTGGGTGCGGAGCTGGGAGCATCCGACGCGGGCTGCAGAGTGGGGTGTGTGGGGCTGTTTGTGCAGAAGGAGGTGTGGGTGTGTGCACGTGTGCAGTCATATTTGGATAAAATGTCACTGGAAGAACATGCACGAGGAGCTCCTTGGACCTCTGGGTTAGAAGAAAGAGAAAAAAACAGTATACAAGAAACCGGTGACCATAGTCGCTGCCGGCAGGGAGGTCTGTTTGTCCTGATCTGTTTGAAATTTTTACCAAACATTTGTTTGAAGTTTTTACCATTTGCTTACGTGCCATGCCATTCTTCCACCCACCTCGATGATTACAAAGCCAGCCCACGGTTTTGTTTTTCCGTCATGGTTCAGATTTCTTTGGGAAGATTTGTTGTTTGTAAACAAAACATAGTGCTTATCTCCTGCCGTGTCATGCATTGGCAGATATAGAATCCATTATTGTAATAGCGTTGTCTAGCATTTGTGGAAAACAGGATATGCAAAAAGATATAAATTTAGATATTTTTCATTAAAAATGTATAAGTGGGCAATGATCTGGTTGATAACGGTGTGTGCTTTACTCATTCATTAAGTGTTTATTAGGTGCTTCTTGTGGGCAGTAGTCTTGAGTAGACGATTATGTAATTATTGGAAGTGACTATTATGAAGACCAGCTAAGTGAGAAAATGCTCACAGGGTAGAATTTAAAAGAGGAAATAATTAGGATGCAAATGGCATATGCGACATGCTTACAGTTCTGAGAGGAAAAAGGCCCAGAAGCAGTACACCAAATAGTGACAGTGGTTACCCTAGAGTAATAAAGGTTCCTTGTTTGTCTCTTTGCAGAATTTTTAAAAATGGTGGCTATAATAGCTATATAATCAGTGTTTTATATTAATTTATATTAAATTAATATGTAAATAGAACCATAAAAGTGATATAATCAGAGTTTTATATTAATTTATATTAAATTAATATGTTAACGTGTCCTTAGTTATTTTATTTTATATTTTTTGAGTTGGAGTCTTACTGTGTCACCCTGGCTGGAGTGCAGTGGCACATTCAAGGCCACTGCAGGCTCAACCTGCTGGGCTCTGGCAAGCCTTCCACCTCAGCCTTCCAAGTAGCTGGAACCACGGGCATGCGCCACCATGCCCGGCTAATTTTTTGATTTATTGTAGAGATGAGGTCTCACCAAGTTGACAGGCTGGTTTTGAACCCCTGAACTCAGGCAGTCCTTTCACCTTTGGCCTTCCAAAGTGCTGGGATTGCAGGCTTGAACCACCACACCCAGCCCTCCTAATAATTTTTTTTTTTTTTTTGAGTTGGAGGCTCACTCCATCTCCCAGACTGGAGTGCAGTGGCACACTCATGGCCACCCCAGCGTCGACCTGCTGGGCTCCA